GTAGCCGGGAAAAATCGCAAAAACCACTGGGTGCGGAGCTCTTCTAATACCGACATTAGGGTTAAATCCGAAGACATAGTGATCCTTCTGAGCCGTTCAGAGAGGCCGGCCAGCTGGGCGCTGCAGAATTGCGGATACCTCAGGGAATTCACCCTCTGACTTTCTAGCCTCCTTCCAACTCCTGTATAGAGTGATTATCGAGTTTCACAATGGAGGGTTAGAATTAAGAAACTATAGATTGAGAAGTGATGAGTGTGGTAGCAAGATTTCAAAGATGATCATGATCAAGTGAAGAGAATAATACAAATTGCGAAGCTGAAGATCTGGCTAAGCCATCACCTCCGCTTCTTGTAATCAGAACATGAATGCTCTCTCCGGCCCGTCCTTGAAGTATCCATCGCACAGAGGAATCTGAATAAAAATTTTAAACTCCTCCGATAGTTAATCTGGAAGGGGGACGAAACTTAGCACCTGTCAGTGGTGTCCCATGCGAACCTCCAGCTACCACTAGAGTCTGCAAAGCCGAGATCGAGTAACATCTTTTCAGCTTTGAGCTGAGTTATCTCCCCCTCGGTCAAACATAGGCTTCCGATAACACATACGACGACTAAGACGACGATAACAACAGGGGAATGAGGAAAGATAATGCGGTACAAAATGCTACAAATGGTTTTCCAGAAGCCCTGCGTCGAATGTCCTCCTGACTTAGTGAGCTTTCAAGTATTCTCCTAGAAGCGATGACTAATTATATTGATGAGTAATGAGTTACCTGTTTAGGAATGATGTTAGGAGAGAGGGATAACTGCCGTATATACGGGTTTCCTTTAGTTAGAGAACAAATAAAGATACATGTTAACCACCGATCGTTATTACTGCTATAGAAATCGTGTTATATAAATACCACCCGAGTACTCCGACACCCTCTTAGTATCACAACATGTGCTGCCCAACGGCGGGCAAAAAGAAAGCCCACGAAAGCAAAGCATAAGACCCATCCGCCCTCGAGAAAAGCAGATTTCGACTCGTCTTCAATATCGTCCCTACTAATCTTAACTTCCGAATCTACTAGCCAGGAGGCCATCTGAAATACATGAGTCACTCGACAACCCCACGTCCGTAACGACTTTTGGATGCTAGGCTGGGCTCCTTCATGACAGTCACTCTCGACCAAGACTTTTCTGACATCCTTTCACGACCTTCGATTTGTCCTGCGGCATGAATCAGGGGAGGTGTAAAGAGGAGGCGAGGAAGGTTGAGAGATACCCTTAGGTATTCACAGGTCTGCTGCGCCCGGCTGGCCGGCCTCTTCGTCATAGGAGAGCCCCGCACCCAGTGGTTTTTGAGACTTTTACCAGCAGCTACACACCCGCAAATGGCCATCGTTTCGTTGGCCGTAGGGGAGAGATAATGACGGGATAACTGCTCCTCTTAGTGTATACTCGAATGAAGACCTGTGGGAGTATTACTGCTGGAAAGAAGTCGTGAAGGAGGCATAGGAGAGAGAACACTACACGAGGCATAGATACTCCTGGCCTGTAGGCAGAAAGGACCTACATGTCCTTACATAGTTATAGACTCATAAGGACAATAAACACATTTATATATTAATCTAGAAAATAACACATGGACGCTTCCTTAATTCTAATTTCTAATCATCCCTGAAAGCCTATATTACTAATTTTTGCAAAAATAATTTCATGAAGTACAGGATTACTATTTCCGAAAGCCGGTCTTGAAGATGACCTTGTAATTTATCTCTTTGGTTTTTCTTGAATTTGAATTCATTTAACCCGATCTGGCGCCCTGTAGACTTATGCAGGCGGATATGAACCTATCTACATATTTACATGAGGGGGAATCAAATTATCTCTTTAGTTAATATTGGCTGGCCGGATATCCCGTTTAATAACTCTGCCTCAGGCCAGAGTATTCAGACCATAACATCTACAAACGAACTAGCTAGGGCATAAGAGATGCGCTTCCCCCAGCTGTAACATAACAATTATCAAAGTATCTTCACTTCTACATATGGTAATGAAGATATCTCTCTACAAACTATCTTAAATGTTCCAACGCAAATGTAAACTCCCAAATCATGTGCTAATCATTATAGTTTCTCCTATCACTGAGACATAGTAATTGTTGACACGGCGAGAACAATCGATGAATCACGTCTTTACATTATTTTAAGATCTTATCATGATCGTTTGAACAATATCAACTAATGAATGAATCATGTCCCTACATGACACCAATTTTCCTCCTTACTAGCACTTTTCTCGTCGTAAAGCCTGATATATGGGTGGAAAAGTCCATACCAGTTATGCCATCCATATCTATTTGGCTAGCAACTACCGTTTCAGCAGCCATGAGCTCGAATAATCCTTGTGGAATCTAAACAGGCCGAATGATTGTACAGGTGTCGGTTGGCTGTATACGCGTGGATGCGTATGTAAAGGGATACCTCTTTTGTTGGTTGTTTATCATGTTCATCTTAAATGCAGGCATTTCAGCCTTGTGGGCCACACGGCGGGCTGTACTAAGCCACGTGGCTGAATATATAAACAATTATGATCTCTATCTTGGCTAAAGGAAATCCCAAAAAAGTGTTACGACAACAAAGTCATATTCGGAAATGAGTGCTGGCTATAGTTGTGGTGGCCCAGCAAAGGTAAACGGCCTTGGTGAATATGCTGCCAACTAAGATTACGACCTGAGCGAGTATGGTCTTTCAGGTAAGGGTTTGCAGAGAAATTGGGGAATGATGGTCTTATTTAAGAAATTTATCAATAAATTTTTGAGCTACTATAATATTAGTAAGATAACGGGATATTGGAGTTAAAATATGCTTTAGTCGAAAAAACTTACGATAGATAAAAGATATATTTTTTAAAATAAAAATTTGGTTGAGAAATGATGTTGGAATAAGATTATAGAGATATCTGTTTGTGTGGGTAGAAAGGTTGATGCTGTCTTCCAAGATAATGTCCAATTGAAGGTAATTTTATACATATATTCAATCTATACACTAGCACTAGGGGATCCCTGAGCGCTCATCAATTTTGATACAAAATTTTTGGCTTATTTTGTAGAGCCCAAATCCATTTTTTAGGGTATTTGTGGTGGATCTTAATGAATCGAGAATCTCATATTTTCCAAGTCAATCGTATTTGCCACATCAATTTTAGCTAGATAATAATTAAAGATCCTGGTAAAGTGAAGCTGTGCCATAATTGTTTCTTTATTTATGGTGTTTTCATCTAAGTGCGTTGTGGGTAACGATATTTGGATACAAATTTGGTATTCCCGGCATAACTTCAAGATTGCCTAAGCCCTGTGTGAGGTTCGCAAATTTAGTTAGATATGAGACGCTAGTCACTCCATAGAATGGATCAACTAAGAGATTTTGGTCTGATCCACTAAAGAAAGTAGCGAGTAAACGTGGTAATAGTTGTAGCTTGCACTAAATCATTTTATAGACTGTTCGATGGTGCAGTATCAGCTTTCTCTTCAAACTAAATATTCTGTTCGCTATGAAGAAACCGAGTGTGGCCACAATGTATGATGTCAGACTAGCACATGAAACTCAGTTTCCAATTTTGTGTTGGTTACTTGGAAATTTAAATCGAATTCCTGATATCAGCGGAAGAGCTACCGATGTTTGCCCTGAATTTAGACGTTTTCACGATAAATTTGCCATGAAATTGATTTCCTGAGAGAGAGCAAAGTCCATTCAGGCTTACGTTCACTAAGCCGGCGTCAAGTGATCTTCCCGACGAGTTATTTGAAAGCATGTGAACATCTTTGAACAACATTACCCTGAACTAGTAGCCCTAGGGCTAAGTCTTATTCTTTCGCGCCTCTAGTACCAAATTGGAAGCTGAGATGAAAAATTGCACTACTGTTTTTGTCGGAAGTGTTGGCCTCTATGACTACCAGACTTGAGGATTTGGTAATCTTCTACGGCTCAGAAGATTTTCTCAACCGTTATTCACATGAGCCCCATCCAGTGAAGAAAACGACTCTTGGATGACATGATGAGACGCTGGGATGAGGCATCGCTAGGATTGAAAGGAAAGTAATGATTAGATGTTGAGAAATTATCAAGGGCTCGGGCGTGTGGTGTCCGAAGATGAGGAAACTGCGCTTCAGGTTGACAAAATCGGGTTCCCATGACAGTCGGACTTGTCATTTTCAACACATTAGTGTATATTGAGGTACTCCGTCTATTTAGTTGGAACGAAGAAGTGTAATAAACGGTAGAAATCTTGATCTAGCCTGGCCCCACTCGTGCTCAAGCTTCTATGAGGGTGCGGGGAGCGCCAACTGCCTAATGTAAGGGAGGCGTCTCAGATAGATAATATCTCCGGGTAGGAGTTGTGATATATAGGCAGCTCGAATAAGTAGATATTCTCCAGCAGGTTATTATGATACAAGAACGTCGTATTCCTAATCTCATCAGCAGTAATGCGACTAGTTATACTCTAGGTAAAACGGAACTGGAGCTTTCTCCTAACTCATACGACACCTCAACGTTACATGAGACAACCCCTAAACTCAACCTATCTGATATGGGCATGCTGGGACACACATTATTTTGAGTATTTTCGACTTATGAGTGTCTGTGGGCGCAGTAGCAACGATTTCGGATAGTGCAACGAACACTTTAAAAATAGGCAACGATGGAAGGTAAATTGTTCCGCCTCTTGGTCGTCATCCCCTAGAATTAAAGTCTGGGTAGCCTGGACGCCTACCTAACTCGAGACTGGGAGGACTGTGAGGCCATATCTTGCGCGGTGGCTATCAGCCAGATGAGTCCTTCATAGTCTCAGACTCAGAAGGGACTATAATAAAATTCTTATCTTATATACAAGATGACAAAGGCATGTTAGGGTAGATCAAAATTTTTCCTGTTTCCTTTGGTGGATATTAACGGTTGAGGGAAAGGTGAAATCCCTAGCACCAAGGTCTCGAGTAGTATCAGCGAATGCACCCACTACATGAGTTTCCCAGATGCCAAACTGAGTTATTGTCGTATATATTCGTCAGGGAAGCTAGTCTTCTCCATGTCATGCTCTTTGAGTGCAGGACTTGTGCCCCTCACGAATAAATATTCATTCATTCATTCCATCCGGTAACCAACCCATTACTTGACCGACCAATACAAATGCTATACTCTGAGATTAGTATTGGGCAGGGAATAATATTGATCTAGATGTGTAAGCAGATTTATGCTTGCATAAATCTGCATCCAGTCCAAAAGCGAAAGCACGATCTGCGTGCACACGTATCAGACTAGTGATGATGCTCAAGAGCTTTATTATGGGTAGGTGTAGATATTACAGTGCTACGATGGATTCGTAGCACGGATAAATCTTATCATTTATTTACTTATTATTGTCTACCGAGTGAAAGCGATCGCTATTGCCCTATCCCGGGGGGACATGGTGACTGCTACAAAAGAAACTATATTTATTTACAGTTGGATGCCGAGAGGCCCTGAAAAATAATTTCCCCTAATATATGGTGAGCACCATGCAGTGTATTCCTCGCCTTACTAGATCACACGTTGCGAATAGGGCAGAATTCAGATAGAAACCTAGCCTTCTCCAGTATAGAGGCGAATCATTTAGCAACACGGGAGGTGCCGAGAAGAAAATTGAGAGACCCCAGACTTCGTCGGAGACCGGCAGAGGCCAACCTCTGTCGAATGAAGGGGCAAAAAACTAAGTGGGTGATTGACTTTTCTCCCCTGCAGGAACAAACAATGAGGGCATCTTCACGTTGAAACCTTTCATGATGAGCACGAAAGTCACGCGTCAATTAAGGCATTTAATTAGATACCCAAAAGAGCGACGACGGACGCGAAGCTCCTCGTCAGGGCTTATTGGTAAATGGCATTCCCAACTCACAGTAAGTAGAGGAACTATAAGACTGCCACCATTCGGTGGTCAGGTCCCATAAACGTCTATTTTTCTTAGCGCGGACTCCGGCAAGAGTTGCAGCAGGGGAAGCCGGTGGTCGGGCAGAGGGTAGCTCATTACCTGTGATAACCATATGACCAGGAGACCATATCACTTTAGCTAAGGTGACGTCCTTGTGCAGAACGACAGCACCTGCCCCAGTAGACCCGTCTTTTTGCATTGGGCTATCTGAGAAGACAAGGATATCCCAGTGTGGTTGTGTTCTAATACGCTCGGAAAATTGATGGACGGAAAATTCTGCTCGAGAGCGGGTATGAGAGGCTTTATAGGATGGCGGTAAGAGTGAAGGGCGAAACAAGCTTTAACTTCTCAGTAAGGTGAGTTTGTGCGAGGGGTCAATTGATCTTCTAACAGAGAGATCAAAAATATCTACGGTAGCTAATCTAACAGCAGAGCGGAGGCGCAATTCCTCGAAAAGGATATGAGCGGGCTTGAGCCACACCTCTCTCAGGAGTGCTTCAGCAAGAGTGGTTCTATACACTGGAAAAATTGCTCTAGCCAGGGCGACTAAAGCTCTAGAGACCATGTCCACGAGGTGTTGCGATCGAGTAGAGATTTGGCGACCTCGGTGGCTGTAAGTGTGACCACGCCACCAAACCTCCGCACCGTACAGGAGTACGTGTAGTGCCGCTGCCAGGGCTGCAGTGCGAAGAAATGAAATGAGCACACCGTAGTTGGTATTACCAAGCTGACGTATGTGGGCGCTGATTCATTACGTAATTGCACTCCAAACTTGGACATGTGCTTTGAATGAAAGCTTGATGTTGAGGATACCTAGCCACTTAACTCTTGGGCTTCCATCTTTTACGACACCATTGATGGTCAAAGAAGGAGAGAGCTGGCGGGATATATGAATATGCAGAATTTCTATCTTATTCTCAGCTAGCGAGTATCCATAACTGTTATACCACTTAGTGACTGCGACAATCCTGGCGACAGTGAGGCGTGAGGATTCTACCAGAGTCTTAGCGACCGAAAAGATAGTCACATGATCGACGTATCCAAAAATAGGTAAGCAGAGTATAAATTAAGGCTCGAGGAAAAGGAGGAAAAGTATGAGTGAAGCAAAGGATCCCTGAGGCAAACCGTGCGGAATGTCTAAGAATTCACCAACATAACCATCCACTCGGAGGCGGACTTTCCTACAAGAAGCAAAAGCTGCAGCCCAGTTAACGTATGATAATGATCATCCCTGTTCGCACAACCAGACAGCTAGGCTGAACACTATCAAAAGCGCTTTCGACGTCAAGAGTAGCTAGAGTGCAAACCTACTTCGCATCCCATGCCCTCTCAAAATTATGGACAAGGCTCTCAACGGGGTCCATAGCTGATCTTCCTGGCAGAGCTCCGAGTTGCGTTGGAGAGATAATACGACTTAACAAAGCCTAGAAAGCGAAACACCATGCAAAGAGGCGTCCCAGCCCTTAACCAGTAACAGAAAGGAGCAAAATTGGTCGCCAATTGACGAAGTTAGTGAGATCATCTTTGCGAGGTTTGGGTATAACCACAACTTCAGCGCAACGAGAAGTGTTTGGATGATGTCCATATGTCAGGCAGAGACTGTACAAGTTTACGATCCACCTACGCCATAAGTTGAATTCTCAGATATGGCGAGGAGCAACAACCGAAATATGGTCATGACCTGGGGTTGTGCAAGATTTATCAAGAAGACAGTGTCGCAATTCATCTTCGTCTGCGGAAGGAGGTGCAGGAATAACTCACCGTGAGCAATTAGGGGTGTATCTAGAAGTATCGATCTCCCTAGTTACTCGGGAAAGCTTCGTGCGAAAGAAGGCATCAGCCCGCTCAGTCGGGTTGCTGTACGTGACTCCTTGGAACTGAATTGGAGGGGGGCTGAAGCGACTGGAAAACTATCGCCTCCAACCACTTTATGGGCCTTCCAATGCGAAGACACACTATCCAGCCTAGAGTGCTCATACTCTCGTTTGACTCGCTTAATAGTTTTGCCGATGTTCCGGTGTTGGTTGCTGATAAGATCTGGATCACCACTATCACGGGCTCCAAAATAACGTCCACGTTGGTCAGAGCATTTCTGGTTCCAATAATCATTAAATTGCACACATGCAGGCATTGGTGGGTTAGCTCCACTTCGAATAGCTGACAGGGTAACTACGTCTGAAGAGGCCGCCACATTTAGGCGCTGAGAGGAAGGTTATTGGAAGGGAAAACTTGGAGGAGCGGTAGCTGTGAGAGCTTGGCAGAATATGTCTATATTCTCGGTAGTAAAATTAGGCAGCTTCACTAACAGGTATCGCTTCTGAGCTGGACAGGCGGACTAAGTCAGACATTGTCTCTTAGTTGGATGTTGAATGAGCTACAGGGTTCTCATGAGCCAGTTGTCCTTCCATGTTCATTAGAACTAGGTCGAGGACGTGTCCAGCTCGATGATTGTGAGCTTCATACAGTAAAGCCGACTTCAAAGAGTGTTTTTCGATCCATTCAATAAAGCTACTGACTCCGGACGAACGAGCGATATTAGGTTCCCATAATTCGTGAGGAAGATTAAAATCTCCCACAAAAATGGAGTTCGGCTTCACCGGCCAATCCAAGAGTAGACAAATTCTTTCAGGCATATAGGCTTGAGGCTGACGGTAGACGTTGATGACCTCTAATCGAAGAGCACATTGAAGCTGGAGAGCTACAATGTCTTGTGAAGGCCCATTGTCTAGCTGAAAAGGACGAAGGTTAGATTTTTTCTGGATATAGGTGAGTACACGTGGGCGCGCAAGCTTCCAGTCTCGATCAGGAGGAGTAAAAATGACGTAGGCCAGGTGGGACTTCGTAATATCTTTAGAGTTTATTATCTTAATCCAGGGTTCCTGGATAAATATCGCATCATACTTGGCCTCAAATGCGGCTTGTAAAAAAACAAAGTGAGAAGATCCACCACGTCCATTTTTTGCCTGAAGAAATCGAAGACTATGCAATGAGGTACTCCTGAAATATGCTCTATGGTTCATAGAGATTAAGATTATGGGCATTATTGGTGACTTGCTCTTGTGAATCTACTTCCATAGAACCATGCGATGCATTTTCGAGTATGGTAACCCTTTTATACCTGACAGAAGAAGTAGGTAGTGAGAGGCTCGCGAAGGATCCAGTGCTAAGAGTTGACCCATCGGTGCTGCCGGTGTCAGAGGCAGCAGCGGCAGCAGCTGAAGCCGCACGACTAGCCTTATGGAGCTTACTGCGGTTGTTAGAGTGAATTTCAGAAAACTCTTTGTCGAAGGGCTGAATAAGTTTGCCCTTGTAAGCGTGAGGCTGTAGAGGGCAAGTGTGATCATTAGCTGGGTGTGGTCCCAAACAGTTGATGTCACGGACTAAGAGCCTATTCTGAGGCAATAGGAACTCTGTACGAAGATATCTGTGGTATTCTGCTATATTCTATTCTAATCTGTTCTGTTCTGATCTGTACTTGTCTAGACTATTCTATTCTGTATGAGAGTATACTGGAAATTTCGAGAACAATGGAGAGGAATATATAATGGGTAATTGGGATGACTTTATTTCGGCATATTGTAGTCTTGTATTCTTAGGAACCTTTCGACAATATTGAATTGGTGTACATCCTGACCTTTTGAAATCTTGATCTTTTGACATCTTCGAATATTGACTTATTGATCTCTCGACTCATTGAACTCTCAACACCTCGACAGTTGATACATTGACGAAGATGAGTATATTCCCCCTGATGACGAAGAGTACCAGAGAGGGCACACAAAGCTTGAATCAGGTAGCGAGAGGATTTATGGAAACCAAAACAAGCTTCGCACTGGACTACCTTTGGGTTTGGGATGTAGCGCCGTGATGGGGCGCTGTCGACAATACGAAAAGCAGGGACCTCTTTTGAAAAGAATGTAACTGCTGTATGAAAAAGATAGTGGCGGTTCTCGTGCTACAATAAGTGAGTTCTGGATGGGGCAACACCCGCCTGTGCCTGAGCTATATTCCTGATGTCATCAAGCGAAGAGCAAACCAGATTGGACACCGGATTCCAAATGGTACATAGAATGCGCCTGAGATGCGGGAAACGGAGGCAAAACAGTCTTTGAGGCCAGGGACAAATTAAATGAGAGCAGCTTTGACATCCGTGGCATTTGCTCTGAAGAGTGAGGCTCCCTCAGTCAAGCGGA